AGAGCTCTTTGTGGACTGTGTCGTATCTCATCTCCCCTACACACACAAAAGGCTAGAGGGGACAAAGTAAGCACAGGAAAATGATGAACTGTTTAAAAAGGTCATTAACCACTGTTTGACAAGTTGGCCAGAAACATGTAAGCTAGAACCAGAGTTAAAAGGTTACTGGCAACATAGAATGGGCATGTAGCTCACAATTTGCTGCCTAAACTGAGAGCAGATATTCTGCAACGTCTGCACGAAGGCCGTCAGGGTATTTACAGATAGATCAGATGGTATACAGGTGTGAAATGTGTCAAAAGCACAGGTTACAGAACTGACACCCACTCCTGTGCCCGACCGCCCATGGCAGAAGGTTGGCACAGATCTGTTTGAGTAATCAAAGAACATTACCTCCTGATTATTGAATTTTCTCCAGGTACATCGAGATTGCTGAACTCAAACACACATCTGCAGAGGTCACTATAAAAGCTGTGAAACCTTGACCTTTGTGAGACATGGAGTTGCAGAGAATGTGGTTTCCAACAACGGGCCGCAATTTGCATCAGAACAGTTCAGACACTTTGCAAAAGAGCACCAGTTCACACACGTCATGAGCAATCCCAGGTACCACCAAGCCAGAGGGGATGTGGAGTGCACTGTTCATACTTTCAAAGACTTGTGGAAAAAGGACAGTGACTATAGCAGAGCGCTACTGGTGCACAGAGCCACCCCACTGGAACACAGGTTCTCGCCTGCACAGCTGCTCATGGGAAGAAACCTGCACACTTCCCCACCTCAACCCACAGTCAAGTTGGAATCTAAGTGGCTGGAATTGCAGACCTTTCGAAAAAGGGATGAGGAGGGAGGCGTAAGCAGGCAAAACACTTCAACCCAAGAAACTGTGCAAGACTCCCAGAAGTACTGACAGGATAGAAAGTGGGGATTACTACAGAAGGAACCACTGGAGCAGTCATTAGACCTGCCAATGCTCCCAGATCTTATTTGGTAGAGACAGACAAGGGTTCTCTACGGAGGAACAGATGTCACCTTAGACCACAGGTGTCAAACATAAGGCCCGGGGGCCAGACCCGGCCCTCCAAGACCTTTAATGTGGCCCTTCTGTGATTTTCTACAAAAATATTTTAATTATATTTTCTATTAAAATATTGTTAATTTTCTGTGGTGTTTATCACAGCAGCGTCTCCAGTGTCTCTGTACGTGGCCCCTCCCACCAGAGCAGCACAAATGAAGACTTGTCTCTTTCCAAACGCTCTTGAAGGACGATCGTTTTGACTGTTGACCCTGACACCCTCATCAACAAAATGTCCAACATGAGAAAAGTGGAGCCGAGTGCAGGATTTTCCAAGAAAAATTGACTTATTCCTATTTACATTCACAGTT